CGGGCTGCCCTCGGGCGTATGTTTACTGATATATTGGGCGGGCAGAGGCTGCGCGCCCCTTCCCTTCCTCTCCTGTCTCCGCCGGCTACTCCACTGGAACCTTGGTTTCGTGAGTCTGGTTTTGTTATTAAACTTGTTCAAATACCTATTATCTTTGGTGATTATTAATCCGACCGCTGCAATAAAGTGAATTCAAAATGCTAGTGAGAATGCAAACAAGGAGGAGTCCTCATTCGCTGCTGGCGGGAGTGGGAAATCAGTGCAAATGCTTTTCAAACAGTGCAAATAGGGACTGGGAAGGCAGCTCAGAAGAACAGAGTTCAGTTCCCAGAATCCACATTTTAAAAATGTCAACCATGGTGGTGTGTGCTTGTAATCTAAGTGCTAGGGACACGTGGATCTCTGGGGCTTGTTGGTCAGCATCGTGGCCTAATTTATGAGGACTGGACAAGTAAAAGACACTATGTAAAAAAAGAGAGGGGGGAGAGAGAAGAGGAGAGGAGAGAAGAGAAGAGGTCAAAAGAGAAAGAAAAAGGTGGTCTGTGCCCGAGGAACAACAGCCAAGGTGACCCTTTGCCCACCATATGCACATACACATATACACATGCAAACACAGAAGACAAAAACTAGAATTATCCAGCCATACCATGCTTAGGCACACTCCCAAAGGGACTGTCTAGTCTCTGACACCGAAGTTGCACATACATGTTCATGACTGTTCTGTCAATAATGATTAGGAAATGTGGCACATATGCACAGTGGGATTTTACACAGCCATTAAAAATGAAATTATGAAAGTTTCATTAAAATAAACAAAGCTAGAAATTATTGTATTATTGAGATATTCTAGAGTTGGTAAAACAAATACAGCATACTCTGTCCCGTAAAGAGATTCTTGCTGTCAATGCTATGAATATGAATATATTCATATATGAGAGGGTGAGCAGGGATATAGGTCATGAAACCACAGGCGGGCTACTGTAGGAGAAATCTGTTCTAGGGAAAGAGTTTGAGGAGGATGGGTGATATATAAGACAGAATGTATGCAAGTAGAAAGGGGACTGTTTGGGGTGAAAGGACGCAAGAGAGAGTGGGGTGAGAAGATGGAAGAGGGAAACAGGGAGGAGGCTCAACCCCAACAAAAACTATGTATAAAACCTCTGTAACAGAACCGTTCCTTTTCTGCTAATTAAAATATAAACAGAAGTCATGACTGAACGGATTCATCTCTATCAACGTGTTAAGTATGGCTTTCTTCCCCAGAGAAAGTACCTTTGCGTCCCCACAGCTGATAGCTTTGCCACAAACAGCAAATAAATGATTAAAATGCCCGTGATTCAAAGCAAGTGTGGACTAGGAATCAGATTTGAGGCCCAGGTAAAACACAGGTGTTTTATTTCTGATCTATTTAGTGGGGGATTTTTGTTTTATTGTATGTTGCAAGGCACTCATATTACCAAACTACCTCGTCCATCATTTTAAGCCAGGGGAAGGGGCACTCTGACTGGTCTATCGTGGCTCCCTTTCCTTTTCTCTGAAAGCATTTATCTGCATTTCTGTTCAATACAGTGTGTAGAAATGAAGCGGAGAAGTAGGTGTCCCAGGAAGGAGTGCTCACTCAGACAAAGGGGGAAATCTTTCAAAGTGCGTCTACTGGGTATTCCAGAAGAATTGTCAGTAGTGGAAAAGTGAAGATGCTGAATTTTGCACCAACCTTAGTTAAAAATTAACCAGTACCCAGTGTATTTGACAGTCTCAGAGTGTAATATGGGGGCACGTTTACCATTTCATGGAAGAATTGTTCAGAAACAGGGAACCAGACCATAAATCTTCACTGTTTGTTTCTCCCCCTGAGGCTACATTAGTGCCTCAAAATTTTCCCCCTTTCTAGGAGGCATTAGGAGCCAGGGTAAATGTGTGAGTTTTGGAATTAGACAAAGCGATTTTAAATTATGAATCCATTGTGTATCAGCTGTGTATTTCAATTTAACATTTAGCCTTTCTGAACAAATTCCTGTTCCTCTCAAATTACATTCCAAAGATATAGCCCTTAGGATTTTTCTGCTAACACAATTAAATTACAAGATGAAGTGCCCAGATGATCTCAGGATATGGAAGCATTTTTTGCTTTATCACACTCTGCTCTACTAGAAGAAGAAGAAAAAATACATTCAGCTAATGCTAGATGGAAATCACAATTATAAAAAACATCATTATTTTAATTTTTTTGCAATGAAGATTTCAGATGGTTTTTTAGAAATATCTAGGGATTTCATGGTCTGGATGTCTAATGAGAAGGCCCACATTCTACACAGTATTATCAGAAGTGAAGGAACACTCCTGCATTCTTCTATTTGTGAGAAAGCATTTAAGACTGAGTGGATGGTATATATGTCCTTCCAGCATCTATCCCTGAAATTTGGTAAGAAAGAGACTGCTCAAATCTTAGCTTGTAGGAGGAGATAGAAGATAAAATGCAAGAAAACCTTTGCTATAAAGGGAAGCGGAAAACACGATTCGCCCCCAGGGAACATCAGTTCTCCTCTGTCTGACTCTTTTTTCCTGCTCACACACACACACAAAAAAAATATACTGAGAAATTTCAAAGTCACTGGGTTGAAAGCAAACTTTAAAACAGCCAGGGAGCCCTACAAAGCAATCCCTATTCTGCCCTGAGTTATGTAGAGAACAGCTTGGATCTTCACGTATCTAATCCAGTGTCAGAGCCAAGTCAGTACTCGGATTGTCATGAACCTTATATGAAGGCTGAGTGTGGCTTCTGCCGGCCACCACTGGAGGGGTAGACATTGCAACCCCAGATGTATCCCTTTGTTCTCTTCATGTCTCCTGGGGGTTGGGGACCCTCTAATGAGTTCCTTTGATCACTTAGTTTGATATTTCTGAAATCAAGTAGTGAAGCCTATACTAGGACCTTGCCCAAAATAGAAACCACAATTCAATTCTAAAAGGGGAAAAATGAATGTGATTATCCAGAGAAGGAGAAAACACCAATAAGCTTGAAGCTGTCTGAATTTTTTTTTTTTTGGAAGGGAGAATTTATTTTCTCACGGTTTGAAATTGTAGTCCATCACTATGGGAAGGTCACAGTGGCAGGAGCTTGAGTCCCCTGGCCAAACCAAACCAGGAAAGGAAACAGAGGACGGTTGTAGCGATGTGCTTTAACTTTCCGTAGGGCTCAGTTCAGCTCACTTAAAATACATCTGAAGACACCAATGTGAATTTTAAGCTCTAATCCTAAAGAAATCCACTTAAAATGTTCTACTTTGGATAGTTACTCCCATACAGCATCTTTATTGGAATGCAAGAGCTTGGTTTGTGGTGAAAAAAAAAATAAAAATAAAAACTTGCTGTACAAGTTCCCAAAGACTTAATGACATCAGGGAGTGGTCTGAGACTGACTCAGAGTAGATGAATACTAAGGCACCCTGCAAGGTTTTGGAAGGGCTTAGAGGGATTCCTCAGACCAAGTCCATCTTTGCAGTTGCTGTCTTCATGCAGGACATGAGTAGACATTGTATAGAAAGTAAATGAAAAATGAATAATCATCTTACTGATATTGTGATATTATATAGTGTCCTACAGCTTATTCCATCATTTTTCACGGTCTACTTTTTTCTTTAATTAAGGAATGTTTCACCAATCTGCATGTCATTCTTCGCAGGAGCCATGCCAACTTTTAATATCATTCCAATTTTATTATATGTGCTACCAAAGTGAGCACACAGTCTACTTTTTATACCTACTGCTATAACAACCCTAGGAAGAAAACGGCATTATTTAACAAATTTTAAAAAAATGCAGAGGATTGGAGAATTGAAGACTAACAAAAAACATTAAAGGAAGATAAGGGCCAGAAGCCAGCTCCTTGACTCTGAAAGTTGTGGTCTGTGCCATTGGGCTGTGAGGATAAGGAGGCCCAGTATCCAAGCTAAATTATAAATTCCTGAAGCTGTTTTTTGATCCACCCCCTTGAATTTTTCATCCAAGTGTTTTCCTTTCTTGCTGTATATGATGAAAGTGACATACTACTCGTATTTGTGATATTATCACTCAGGGTCAAAGGGAGACTCTTTCCTGGAAAGGATTATGACAGGATGGCTTTCAAATTATCATGCAAACATCTACTGCTTGCAATTTGTTTTTGGTTTTGTGGGGCTCCTATATTTTAAATAATAACTATTTTCAGGCAATATTTTAAAATTTCTGTTCGGTAAATATTTGGACAGAAAGTGCTAAGTCTCTCATTTTTGAAAGTTATCTCTGTCCCAGATTTGAAGATCATGAATTTACTCCCTATGAGTTAATGTGCTCTGTGCTCAAAACTACACTTAGGATTTTCACTTGGTTCTAGACACACTGCTAAAAACACAAAGAATACCATTGTCAGTTTGTCTCATTGGAAAAGCAGTCCAGTGCTTTCAACATGCAAAATAATTTCTTTAATATAACTATATTTAGATTTTAAAACTTTTGTCAAAAGATAAGCTACATAGAAAAAAAAGATAGTTATTGTCTAACAGGAGACCAAACACTCCATGAAAAATTAAGAAAATGAATTCTACAGGTTGAGATTGTTTTCTGTTTTTCTTCTAACTTTTATTTAAATAGGCAATAGGAAATTTGGATACATATAACCCCCAGTTTATACTGTTTAATGTTAGAAATAGCTAAAAAGGGAACTTTATCTGACTTTATCACTTACACCCAAGATCCATACAGGTGGCCTGTGTAACTATTGATCTCCTTCTGCCTTTCCTTTCTAGAGAGTAGATGAAATCAAGGGTACCAGGTCTGTGCTCCCGGACTGATATCCAAAGGAAGTGGCTATGAGGAATGATGAAGGACAATGCATAAAGATGTGTTTATAAAACAGAATGTTGGTGGAGATAATCAGAACTAGAATATGGAGGAATTATCCCCAAGACCAGCACTCAAGGTATCTCTAATAAATATTATGTTGACTGCCTTGGCAATTGATGGGCTTAAGAAGACAAACATGCCCAAAGTTACAGATGATGAATCAAGAGGAATGCTACTGACCAAGACTATGCATGATCGGGACTTGAGGTTAGCCTGAAAGGAATGAGGACATACAGAAAGCCTTGAAGCAAAAGAACTATCTGCAAGTATTTCCCATTTGGAAATGTCTGCATATGACATTAAGCCAATATAAATGGCGATAAGATGATCCCTAAGTTTCAAAAGTTGAAAACATTTTGAAAGTTTTGTCATGACATAATGGGGAGTCATTGTGGACATTTAGGAGGCCAAAGTCTACCAATACTAGAAATCATACAACAGTGGCCCAGGGTGAGAAAAATTGCTCCTGCATCCACACTACTTTCTATGTCCATGGACATTTTGATGTGTGGGGGAACTTTATGCACACTGAAATCTAACAATGGATTAGATGCTAAGATAAAGTTTTACTTTTAACTGTGTGCTGAATGATTCCTAAGAGCAGGTTATCCTAGGAATCTTAGAATATTGGGAATCAACCTACCTCAAAACCCAGCAATATTGCTGTTGAGCATATACCCAAAGGATACTCAACCATACCCCAAGGACACTTGCTCAGCCGTGCTCATAGCAACATTATCCATAATAGCCAGAACCTGAAAACAACCTGGATGTCCTTCAATCGAAGAATGGATAGAGAAAATGTGATGTATCTACACAATGGAGTATTACTTAGTGGAAAAATAAAAACAAACAATGACATCATGAAATTTGGAGGCAAATAGAGAGAACTAGAAAAAAATCATCCTGAGTGAGATAACCCAGACCCAGAAAGACAAACATGGTATGTACTCAATCATAAGTGGATATTAGACGTAAAACAAAGGATAACCAGGCTACAATCCTCAGTCCCAGAGAAGCTAGGTAACAAGGGGAACCTTAAGAGGAACACATGGTTTTCGCTGGAAAGAGGAAGTAGATGGGATATTTTGAGTAAACTGGGAGGGGGAAACAGAGGGGAGTGGATGGGGTTGGGAACATGAAAGATCAGGTTGGTTGAGTTTCGGGCAGGATGGAGTGGGAGAGTGGATAGGGGAGATATCTTGGTAGAGGGAGTGATTATGTGATTAGGGAGAGATCTGGTGCCAGGGAGGCTCCTGGGAATCTACAAGGATGACCCCAGCTAAGACTCCTAAGCAGTAGTAGAGAGGTGCCTGAACTGACCTTCCCCTATAATCATGTTGATGACTGCCCTAATAAGCATCATAGAGCCTTCATGTAGTACCCAATGGAAGCAGATAGAGAGATCCACAGCCAAGCACTGGGCTGAGATGGAAGTTCAGTTGAAGAGAGGCTGGAGGGATTATATGAGCAAGGGAACGGGTCAAAACCGTGATGGGGAAACTCATAGAGAAAGCTGACCTGAGCTTTTGGGAGCTCATGTACTCTGGACAGACAGCTTGGGAGCCAGGAATTAACTGCTCAGGTCCTCTGCATCTGGTTGACAATTGTGTAGCTTGGTCTTTTGTGGGGCCCCTAGCAGTGGGACCAGGACCTGTTCCTGATGGCTCTTGGTAACCTATTCCCTATGGTGTGATGCCTTGTTCAGACTTGATGCGGAGTGGGATGGGAGGGGAGAAGCTTGGTCCTGCCTCAGCTTGATGTGCCATGCTTTGTTGTTGATTCCCATGGGAGGCCTTACCCCATCTAAGTGGAGACCAAGGAGGAGTGGGTAGGAGGAATAAGGGGAAGGTGCGGGGAGGAAGTGGGAGGGGAGGGAGGGGAAACTGCAGTTGGTATGTAAAATAAATTTTAAAATGATAAAAAAAAAAGACATAAAATTACATTGTTTTGTTTGGAACTTGGCTGAGAGTTGTTCATAGCTTCAAGTAAGAAGGCCCATGATAGAAACACTGCTGATCACACACAACACACTAGCTACTGTGGCTGCTGTATTCACAATGGTTCCATAGAAATAAACATCCACACCTGCTTAGGTATCTTTCCTTTCCCATGCTGTGTCAGAAAGTCACAACAGTGTCTAAGGTCTCCTCACACCCTAGTAAACGGCCCCCTGTGATGATCATGCCTTATGGGCACGCAGCTCCCCATAGGGTCACAGTCACGTTCACAACTCCAAGCTCCACCACACTGGCCTTGGCTTCAAAATGACACCCAGACACATCGTCACTTTTAGTGACCACACCTTACATGTTCATAGCAAAACCCAAGTCCCCAGCATCCTTCTGTTTGCTGCTATGATACAGAGTACCAGCTCTGGCATTCACAGTCATCGATGAGAGTAAAAAGTCCAGAAAGATCCAAAGTGTGCCTTGCACGTCACAACAGTGGATAAGAACTAAACTTTTCGGCCAAACTGCACTGAAATTTACTCCATGACAGGAGCAGCCCATTTTCTCCATGGCTGTCATAGATTTCATGGATCCTGAGAAATCCAGCCATTTTTAGAAATCCCATGAAATTTACCTTTTCACTCGAATCCACATGAAATCAAAATGTTTCCCTACGAGTCCCCATAAAATTGACACATTTCCTCAGAAGACCCCATGAAATTATAAAGAATATTGCAGATTCCTTGCTCCTCATCCTTGTTGCACATCTTAAAGAGACAGGTCAAAGGTTGTAGAAATATTCCATTTTTTTTCTGATGATAGTCACCTAAAATCACGGCAAATTCCAAAAACATAGCAGCTGCTTAATAGATCAGTTCAAAGTGAAATAAACTTGAATCTATTTTGCATAATCTAAAAATTAGAAAGACCATGGGTAATAATGCAAAAACTGATAAAAACACGAAGTTTACCTAATTTATCCTAAATATTTTTTTCTTATTCTTCCTGTTCTACCTAGTCTTTAAAAACTGGGCGACAGTATATAAATTTTGATATTATTAAAATGTCTGGAGAGCCACTTGAAGTTGGGATGTTGGAAGAAAAGGCCACTCCAGCTATTTTCACACCAGCAGACTGCGCAAGAAATCAAAATCAAATTTCTCTCAAAGCAAAAGTCACACCCCCGCCCCTGAGTTCACAATGGGAACTGACGTCTCATAAGCCCTACCTTGTAGGGCGGTGTAAAAATCAGGCGCAGTAACAAATTCAAAAATGTAGATTGTGCAGTGCTTTCAAATGTAAAAGGAGGAAAGTGGCGCCCTTTACAGTTAGTGAGGAAAAATGATGCAATAACAACTGGAAAACACAGAGTTTTTCTGAGTGTATTGTGTGCATTCCAATTAACACAAAATTATTCCTCAGCTTTATGCCCTCACAAAGAAAGGTGAATATGGAAAGGATTAATGGGCATCATGGCAAAATAAAATAGATATGTAACTGATGGGTAGCTTTTCATTGGGACCATTATAAAAAAAGGAACACATGTATTTCATATTCTTATAGGAAAAAAAATCACCTCCCTGGTTTTTACCTATATCTTGACTCCCTCAGGATTAAGTCAAACAAGTTCTCAGTTCAAGTCAGCAAGGCCACACTTAAAATGCCATTTCCTGAATGTGAGCCAGCATTCCACTCAAAGGAGGAATTCTTGCCAGCAGATGTACCCTCCTGAAGGGGGAATGACCTCCAGAAATTCTAGGCTGCCTTTGAGTTTGCATTAGTGCTTTCATTTTTGAGTCATGTGAGTATTTACTCTTTTATTCGATTTATCCTCCGCCACCGCACATCCAGAGAGGTACTGGGACTGCCCACAAAAAGCAGAACAATAAAGAGATTTACTCCAAGCTGC